ACATGCTTGCATTTGCAATCAACCAAATTTCATCAGTTTTGAACAACTCATGCGAAGTGGAAATGGAGAAAGGCAGATTCCAAACACATCCAAGTCCAATTGGTGCTACCTTTTCGGGTACCTGAAAATATTCAGCAAGTAATTTATTTAATCGTGCATTTATTTCCTAAGTAATGCATTGATTAATTGAGCTGGTGATGCACTAGCTGCCATCGAAGTCACTCAATGTTAGATGTGACTGGTGTTGGAATCGCCTTTCTAGTGATATAAATTTAAACACTTCAACGCATTCAAAAGTGCATAAGCAAGTATTATATCAGGTCTGCAATACACAGTAAAGCCAAGCAAGCACACTCGAGATAGACAGTGATACCCTAATATGATTAGTGCCGTGGCAAATTTAACGTATCAGACAGAGCTTTCCGCACATCCAAAAAAAAGTATGTGAAAGACAAAGAACTCATTAAAAATTAGAAAAACCAACATACGTAAAAATGATAAAAGTATTTGATGCATCATCAAAGCCACCTACTCCTTCCTATGGTCTTCTAGCCATCGTGTACGATAATGATGGTAATTCCTCAACTCCTCAGCCGAATGTTTACACATTACCTCTTACAGGAATATGTAAAAGTGTGATTCTCATCAATGTTGACTGATGAATAGACCAGCATATGTATTCTAGATTTTTTTAGAATTGGCACATTGAATTGTTTGTTAGTATGGTGTAGGGAGCGACCTTTATAAAACTCCTTGCCCCTTTAATCCCGAACATTTTAACGGCATTTTCTCATTTAGTGCCTCTAGCTAACATCGATAAAGCTGCTACCCTATAATAGTTCCTTTTGGCTTTCAGTATGTATGTTGTGACCTGTCAATGTGTAGCTTCTTGCGAATCTTGATAACGAGTTCATACGATTTGTATTGTCACAGTACTAAATGATGATTATGGTTTTATTAACTACCTAACTAATGGAAAAGCAATTGATATTTAAAATGAGGGCTGTGTATCCACTTTCAAACTTGACTGCTTTCATATTCACAATAAAACAGAAAGTCTAAACTCATAAAGTACTATTAAACACTACAATGTTTGGCTGTGGTATACGGCAGTGTTTCGAACTAAACAATGGGGTAGAAAACAGGAGCTCAATTAGTACTGAGGGACAGCCATCATTGCAATTTCATCAAGTAAAACGAAGATAGCGGGATTGAGGCAGGAACTTATGAGAAGTTGGCGTAAATTGTAAAGTACTTAACGTGCATTTTGCTGAGTAAGATTTATGTTGGGTAGTGGCTGAGCTTCAATTAATTTCGTTTACTTTCACTCGGATGTGTGGTTACTTGGACTTCACATCTCAAGGCAACCTACGAAATATGACCACTTCTCCCGGTCCACCGCAGTTACTTTCAAGAACATGTCAGCTTTAGCAGCATAAATCGTGTTTTTTACTGTTTTTACACTGG